AACAATTAATGACACCTACAATGCTTGAGTATAGAGCAAGATTATGCACCACAAGAATATAAACAATTTTCAAGGTATGTGTTTTGTGACCCCCTTCTGGCAGAAATCAGATCATTTAACACTTTGCCGTCACACAGCCAGAAAATACAAAATACCCCATCTGGTCACCCAGCCAGGAGAGTGACTGCAACGGTCTTCTCGGGCCAGGCACAGAAGTGCGCCACGTGACCAGAACGGATAATTTTCACCGGCACATTATTGCGCCAAGTGACTGCAAAGTGTTAAGAGTCGGGCATCAACCCTGTCTATCTGGGCCATCCCGCTGAGAGGGATAAAATATCCCAGCAGACAGACCCGGGCTGAGAGGGATACAGCATCCCAGCAGACAGACCCGGGCTGAGAGGGATACAATATTCCAGAAGAAAGGCAGAGATACTCTGTAAAAATTCTCCCCACTTGGGAAAAGAACTCTGGTCTCCTACGTGAGCCGGCAAAGCCGCTAACCACTACACCAAAGGCACTGGTGCACAACGCTGGAATAGAGAACAAGATTATGCACCACATGAAAAGAATAAGGCAAATATTCTGGAATAGTCTACAGTAAAAAACAACACATTTATCATAGTTTTAGAGCTTGAGGCTCAGCTTCTATGGGTCAAGCGGACAGTCTATTTTTTTTTAATTTGTAGCTGTAAACATTTTATTGACACAATTTAGGTTATTACAGAAATGGACGGCTTCTACCTTCCCGGCCAAAGCCAACCTGGGCTGAGTGAAATACAACAATCTAACAAACAGACGGAGATTCTCAATACAAAAATTCCTCACTAAGGAACTGAACTAGCATCTTCTAAAAGTACACCGACAAAGGACAAACCATTAATATAAGATGTTGTTGCTGTCTATCGTTTGAACAATATAGCTTTCATCACGAGAAAGTAAAAACATGAAAAACTTAAACAGTTGCGTGACGGTGAAAGGCCTGGACAGAATGATAGCCAATGTCTGTGTCAGATCTGACACTCCACGCTGGTGACAGACTTTGACACTTGGCACCAACTATCTACATAATAATAATAATAATAATAATAATAATAATAATAATAATAATAATAATAATAATAATAATAACAATATAATAATAATAAAAACAATAATAATAACAATAATTTAAAAAATAAAAGTAATAATAATAATAATAATAATAATAATAACAATAACAATAATAATAATAAAAACAATAATAACAATAACAATAATAATAATAAAAACAATAATAACAATAACAATAATAATAATAAAAACAATAATAACAATAACAATAGCATTTGTATAGCCGATATCCCCACTCAACAGCAGGCTCTATGCGCTTTACACTATATTATTACCTCAGCAGACCATAGAACACTCCGAAACATTCTCAGCTTCCCGGGAAGCATACAGTGCAAGCAGCTGATTAAGCGCTCAAACACTAACAAACTGACAAAATCTTTCACTGTCTATCGCTGGGTACCCATTCCCACCTGAGTGAAGTGAGGAAAATTCGTGTAAAGTGCTTTTCCAAAGGACACAACGTTGGGCCCCAAACGGGATTCGAACCCACGACCTTACAGTTGCGAGTCTGGGAGCCTAACCACTAGGCCATCGACTCCACTACATCATTATCATGTACCTATAAACAGCTTTTACCAGTTTCTCAGTGCAGACAAGTTCTTTTAATAGGGAGCCTCATTAGATTCATGAGCTCTCATCGGCCGGAAATATTTCCCCATGAAACATCAATACAACATACATTAGAGCACTGGATCGCTAACAACAACAACAACAACAACAACAACATACATTAGAGCACTGGATCGCTAACGACAACAACAACAACAACAACATACATTAGAGCACTGGATCGCTAACAACAACAACAACAACAACAACAACAACATACATTAGAGCACTGGATCGCTAACAACAACAACAACATACATTAGAGCACTGGATCGCTAACAACAACAACAACAACAACAACAACAACAACAACATACATTAGAGCACTGGATCGCTAACAACAACAACAACAACAACAACATACATTAGAGCACTGGATCGCTAACAACAACAACAACAACAACAACAACAACATACATTAGAGTATTTCGATTGAGCATGAGACTGCAGCAATGTGGGAAAACAGTGATTGTTGGCTTTTTAAACAATATTATTGTTCATGGCAAAATATTCAGTCCAACATTCTAGGATAAAAATAAAGAGAAACTGAAGACTTCCACTAACTCTGATCGCAGTCACAGTTGCCCGACATGGGGCTAGTGTTTTAGAGGAAAGTTTTTCTAGCACTGGTTTGAAAAACAAAACAAAAAATCCAAAATGTAATTGGTCCAGAGTTGTCATGACTGAAAAGCCTTAACTTGTTCCCACAGGAAACATAAAAAATGGCAAGATAGGCAGAGGTAGACCATGAATATCATACTTTCATACTGCGTAAACTTGAACAGATGGGTGATGGGACAAGACCAGGAAGAACCATAATCGCTGATGTTTGTTTCAGATAATATGACTTTCGGGGAGAAAAAAAAAAAAAAAAAAAAGAAGTTCATTTTTTAAAAAAGAGAACCCCAGCTTCCAAACAGGATATATAAGACAGAGATTATTGGGACAGAATTTTCCACCAAGTATTTTAATTAAAACATAGTTGTGAACCTAAACCCTCTGTGGAAATCTCTACAACACCGTGTTAAAAACTTCCACCTCACTATATATACACTACATGTATAAAAGGAACCAGCACTGTGGTACATCTTTACTTGTAATTAAGCACAAAAAAATTGTTTTTTCTTAAACTGGATAACACTGTTGAGCAAGTAGAAGATACAGATATCCCCCCCCCCCCCCAAACTCCCATCCCATTTCCCAGCAGGAAAAAGAAAGGAGTAGTTTTCAAAATACAAGTGCCAATGTCTACAAAAGAACTGATATGTGGCCATCAATGAGCAAAGCTTAACATACCCTGCCACTCTGTCTCTTTCAAAAAGAGATGAATAATATCTGCTTCACAAAACTGTAAATAAATACGAGGATGAGCATTTCGTGGAACGTTGGAATATCATTGGCCAATACGCGAGTTCCCCGATTGTTGCTTTGTGTAAGGCCACTAGCTAGGGGCAACAATCACATCAACATGTTTACTTATTGTTAGTGTTATTTTTGTGAGTCAACAAAACAGTAAATCATTATTTGCAGTCAAGTAAAACAAATAATACATCTTTACAAGAAAATACAAGATACATACATCCCATCCCATGCCCCTTTCATACAAATAGATGAAAAAAAAAAAAATGCAATTGTGGACTCCAAAGTAACACTACAAAAATCCATTGCCTGGGTTGGATATAGGAATATGTTTTTAAGCATGAACATTGTAAACATTTGTGAGAGAGAACATGCTAGAAATTGTAATTCAAGACAAAAGGTCAAGATTGAGTAAACAGACATTTTTGTGTGGTTTGGACGCGTTAAACAGGTCAGAACGTATTGTCGTACCTGTACCTCTGGTGAAATAGTCCAAAGATACTTTATTTCCCATGAGTATCCAGACAGTTGTGATGATACAGTATAAAAAAGTCATCCCCTCATTGGCTTAATATTGTCACGGTAGATTTTTACACAACAATCGCCACAATTTAGATAATGTAGGAGGTGGGATGCTCCGACCCTGCCTTTTGTTTTATTTAGTAAAGGTTTTACGGCACTCGTAACTGCATTAGGTCATATGAATGCCAGAAGATTAGAGGAGTTACAAGAGAGTACAAACATAAAAAAGAAGGAGGGGAGATAAAGACAATAGATGTTCTATAGGAAAGAAGAAGCAAACCACACCAGAGCACCCGCCAACCATCTACTCGACCTGCCTGTGAGGGCCACCCCAGTATGAGTAGGTAAACCGTCTCTGTTGACTATGAGTGGGTACACTGTCTCTGTTGACCAACAGACTCTACACAAAACCTCTCCACATGGGAATCGAACTTATGTCTTCAGTGAGTGACAACAAAGACCCTCGCTGTTACAACACAGACACTGGTCCTCATTGGATTATTCTGAACAAAAAAGCACATTGAGACAAAACAAAATCATATAAATCATAATTACAACGACAGAAAAATATCGAGTGAATTTCTTTTAAAATTATAAAGAATAAATCATTCAAAATGTGAATATGAAGAAAGACATAATATTATAATGAAATAGTAAAAAATTCCACACACAAAACAAGATGGAGTAACCCAGAAACACAAAAAAAAGAACCATATGAGTTCAAATTTAGAAAGCAGTAGTGGTAAAAACATTTGAAAAATCAAACAAGTATTACAATTCTTGACATACCAGAAATACCCCCAGATCATTATGACAAAACTAAGTCATAAAAACATAATTAAAGTTACAAGAAAAAAAGCTTACAAATTTTGTTAGATATCAAGTCATAATAAATTGCCAGAAAAGAGTATGTTACTATACTTTTTAAAAACTTAAAGACAAAAAAAGACATGAAGCTAGTGAAAGATCCCATTGAGAGTATAGCAGAAAAAATGATGAAAAGAACTTTACAAGTTCAAGTTATGAAAGCTTAAGAAGCAGTCATGGTCCAAGCGTTTGAAAAAGAATATAGCATAAAATATCACAAAATAAAAACTTAAACAAACCAGATTTATCGCAGGTAATAACACAGGAACTGCAAAAGCAAGTCCAAACGCATTCCACAAAGGAATATAATTTCAATTCAATATATTTTAAAGAAGAGTAGAAGAAAACAATACCTCTTAAAGATTAGAAAATTGAGTATTCAGTGTAAACCCATGCTTTAAAAAAATCAATTACATTTCGATGTTTTTATGCCCCCATTGACACAATCTGTCCCCGTGGTTTTATGCACCCCGCATAATTTAGCAAAACTTGATCATTTTTCGCATTATTTCTGATTATTTTCCTTTATCATTCTTTGTTAAAATTTAACAGAATCGCATAATTTCGCATTTTGGGGCTCAGTTCGCATAATTTCAGAATTTTTCTTGCATAAAACGACGGGGGCAGCACAATTTGGTTTCCATCCCCGCCCGCTAGGAAGAGCCCAGGTTGAGATGGTTACAACATGCCAGCAGAAACACCAAGATACTCCATAAAAATTTCTCCCCACTTCGGATTCAAACTCGGATCTCCAGCATACAACAGCAAAGAACCTAACCTCTCTACACCACAGATGTCAATACAGATAAGGTAATCAATGCCAGAATATGAGCAAATGGCAAACATACATAACAGCAATTCATACCGGTCGTGGTAAAGAGCAAATTGAGCCACATCAACAAAAATCAACATTTTGTAAAACAGAGTCACATTTGTAAAAGCAAAAGCTTATAATAATATATAAACGAATGTACAAAGCTTATAATAATATATAAACGAATGTACAAAGCTTATAATAACATATAAACGAATGTACAAAGAGTAAATTCGGACGTTGAGTTTATGCACCACAACATTTTGTTTGTTTGAGTAAATAAAGAGAAGGACATTAACACCATAACGGTCGCTTAATTTATTAATAGCACTGGGGTAAATACGACAGGCAGACAAACATAACAGAGTGAATGAAAGGAAGTACATATGTACCTTGCAGTGGCACCCTCCAACCATCCACATCATCATCGCACCAGGTCTTACACCACAGAAGGAAAAAGTGATCATCACAAACAAACAGGTCGGGCCTCGTTGACAAAATTGTGAAGTCTTGAGCAGTTGTAAAGTCAACTCCTCGTTTATATGACATGCAGGTTCAATTAGCCCAAGGCATCGCTCGCTTGTTTTTACAGTTGTAACAATAATCTACCAAATCCCAGCCAATCCTTGTTATCTATAGATCTAATCAAACTAAACTGTATGTGAAGCGTGCTGACAGATTGGGTTACTTCTCGGATCCGAGCCTTATAGAAATAATATACATCACGCTTATAGGTGAAGTATTGACAATTTATAAGTGTAAAATACCAAAAGCATGTTAATAACATTGTTATACTTCAAGTTCAAGAAGAAGAATATTGCGTCAATAGAAGATCTACAGATTTGACCCAAGTGTCGATTTTTGGCCAATATCTCCATTTGTGGATTGCGAGAAGTAACTCATTTTTTCAGTGCACCTCACGTATTTTCATTGCCAGGATCATTCATTTCTACTCGGTGCAGTAACTATTTTCTGTGAATTGGTTAAATTGTAGTGGAATTTATTCTGATGTTTATATAGCCACATTTTTTTAATGCTGAAAACTTCAATGACAAAATTGGAGTCACAGTCTTTTGTATACTTAGAATAAATACCTAGCTGTAGTTGCAACAATATGGCGTCTGCCCCTATCAACACAGTCGGCTTTGCTCCTGTCTACCTGGACCAACCGGGCCTGAGGGGGAAAAAAACATCCCAGTCGACTGACAGAGATACTTAGTAAATGAAACATCCCCACTCAGTGACTGATATGAAACATCCCCACTCAGTGACTGATATGAAATATCCCCACTCACTGACTGATATGAAATATCCCCACTCACTGACTGATATGAAATATCCCCACTCACTGACTGATATGAAACGTCCCCACTCACTGACCTTGAAGAGCCTAACTACTACACCAACGATGCTAATTAATAAATTTCCCAAACAAACAAAAAATCACATTGAATTTTGTTTAAAAGAAAGAAGGCCCCCAAAACGATGGTACGCCAGATTCAAACACATCTTCATTGTTACAAGAAAAATGGAGACATTCTCAATATTTTTTAGCAAGCACCGTCAAACAGAAATCATCATTGTTCTTGCTACAGCGATGACGATATCTCACACCAGGCATTATATGAAAAGTGTTGCACTCTCACCGGGGGTAACTGGTTTCTTGAAAACTTTTCATCGTACATAAAAAGAAGCTTCTGATTTGAATGATGAAAGCAGGCACAAAAGTTATTCCACTGTCTTTTACGTAATTTACCGACATACTGACTCTTGATTTTCATAGAGAACTGGCACGTCAACCTTAGCAAGATGTTTAGAACAAAGATTGTGTTGATATATTTCTTCCAGTTACACAATTAGATCGTGACACCATCCATGAAAGAAATTGTGACGTCAATAAAACTAGGTATGTAAGAGACCTGATAAACAGTCCATCTGAAGCTTAGCAACATTCAACTCCCTATATAAAAGAGTACTTGTGAGTAGTTCGCAGACATCCTATTATATAAATATTTGGTGGATTGTTCCTTACTTTCACCGTTGCAGAACAGGAAACAACATTTTTAAGGCGTATGTGGTGTCTGTTGAGGAAGAAAACTTTGTTGTTTTTCACCTTAGCTCTATTGTTGGGGATATACAGGACTGTCAGACAGTCTTGTTTTGAAACTTACACACACAATTATTTTGCATTCAGATTTTTCTCTTTCTTTCTTTGAACTATCTTGTCAGAAATTAAATAACCTGCATTTTGATGCATAACATATTTCAGTGTTTCTTTAAAATTTTAAAAGAAAAGTTTAGTTTTCTGATTGCAATCAGGAAGAAAAAAACAGGCAGCCAAAATGTTCGCAGTGAGGAAAATGGTCTATTCGGGAAACGGTTAAGCCTCGGTAGTGACGTATATTTCTAGCTGGTCAGTATCCCGGTCAGGCTGCGGGTATTCCTGGACCGTCGACCCTGGGGCCAGTTTGGACTTGAAAGCCACCTGGAACACGCGCAAGAGAAAGTCACCATAAAAAGTTGTACAAAAAACATCAATACAATACATTTATGTAGAATGTCTCAGGCAAAGATCCAGACTACCAGAGGAGATCTTTAACGTGCGCAACTTACACACGGGGCCTCCGAGATTTTTCCTCCCTTGTCCGAGAAGGCTGGTGTAGATCTTTCCTACCAGAAGATCAGGGGTGTGGCAGAAAGACAGCAGTAAGAAGGAGTCAAGGAGTAGCAGTAGAGAGGCTGTAGAAAGAGTCGGTAGCCCAGAGGAGGGGGCACAGGAGGTGAGGGGGTAGTGGCAGAAAGAGGAGACGAAAGCAGATGACAGAACAAGGCTAGAGAGCAGGAAAGGAGGTGAAAGAAGACGATTTTAGAGAAGAACATTTTTCAGTCGCAATCCGGATTCGAACCTGGGACCTTTGAATGAGAGGCCAACACCTTAACCTCTAGGCCACGAGAGCACCCCGAATCCCACTTTATCTCTATAAAACTTTCACCAGTCCATTATTTCAAAGTTTTTTTAAACAACTACTTTAGAGTTACCATTCTTGCACTTCTGTACGCGTATTGTCCACTAATTTTGTAGCTGTTTGGAGGGAAAGTTATTGCAGTTTTCGTGAGGGTAGTGGGTGGGTACCTAGATTTGTGGGTGTGGCTGGAGGCAGCCCAGGTGGGCGTGTCTGCTCAGGGAGACAACTCAGGTGGAAAATGGTTAAATCGAACACAGTCAATCCGAAAACAGCCACACGCCCTAAGAAAATAAAATCCACCATTTTTTGTTCTTCTACTTGAGCACCCTCTCTAGACCAATCACCCGGCTAAACGGAGGAAAATCCAGTGGTGCCGCAGATTTTGGTTTAAATGGACTCCGCTGCACTATAAAGATCACAGTGGGTGTTGGCGGGTGCTCTGGTGTGGTTTGCTCCTTCTTTCCTATAAAAAATCTATTGTCTCTATCTCTCCTCCTTCTTTGTTATGTTTGTTACTCTCTTGTAACACCTCTAATCTTCTGGCGCTCATAGGACCTTATGTAGTTGCGAGCGCCGTAAAACCTGTACAAAAACTAACAAAAAGATCACAGTCTCGCGGACGTACCAGAATCTCACTTGGCCTCAGCTTGAACAAAATCTCTTTGTCGATTCCAAAAGCGATAGCATTCAAGGCACCTGCAACATCAAGAAGAACATTTTTGTTTTAGTAAAAGTTTTACGGCACTAGCAACACAATAAGGTCATATAAGTGCCGAAGATTAGAGGTGTTACAAGAGAGTAACATTCACAAAAAAGAAGGAGGGGAGATGAAGACGATAAATGTTTCGTTGTTTTTTTTTAATAGTGGTTTTTCGACGCTCGCAACTGCATTAGGTCATATGAGCGCCAGAAGATTAGAGGTGTTACAAGAGAGTAACAAACATAAAAAAAAGAAGGGGCGATAAGGACGATAGATGTTTGATAGGAAAGAAGGAGCAAACCACACCAGAGCACCCGCCAACCACCCACATATAAAAAAGGTCTATGGTTACAAAAGATGTCATCACAATACGCAATAGATAAGTAGTGACCCCTGAAGATGCACTTGGTAAAAATGTTCTGATTTTTGTCTGTTTCTGTTTCAGTAAGAGTTTTACAGCGCTCGCAACCGCATAAGGTCATATGAGCGAGCTGATTTTTGTTTGAGTAGGTGTTTTGCGGCACTATTGACTCAGTTTTGGTCTAAAAAAAAAAAAAGTTATGATACTGACAACAAAAAGACACACTAAGAACACACAGCAACCACTGACCTTGAAGCGGTGACGTCATCGTGGCAAGCAGAACAAGAGCGAACACATGGTAGTCAGGAGATATGGCGTTCTGGATTCTGTGAAAAGACAATGAACATTAAAGCAGCGTGGTGGAATCGGGCACTCATCCTGACTCTTGCGTGCAATAATGACGAGCCTAACCATTACATCACGGACACAGGCATTCTGGATTCTTGGGACAACAAGGATTTTCTTCATCTTAGTCATCTCTTTCTCACACCCTCACTAGAGCTCAGGGTGTAACTGACTGTAGCATTTTCCGATCCCACTGCAGTCAATGTGACGCATAATATGGCAGGGATCGAACTCCAGACTGAAGGGCAGCATAACCGTTGAGTTAGTAAGCCTCTGATTTCACCCGTGATTTAGATATATATTTGTTCATTTGAGAGAAGAGAACCCCATATACATATTGAAAAAAAAAGAAGACAGCCCATACACTTTGGTACACTTCACATAAACAACTTCATGTTTGTTTTTGTTTTAGTAGAGGTTTTACGGCGTTCGCAACTGTATAAGATTATATGAGTGCCAGAAGATTAGAGGTGTTACAAGAGAGTAACAAACATAAAAAAGAAAAGAGGAGATAAGGATGATACATGTTTGATAGGAAAGAAGTAGCAAACCACACCAGAGCACCTGCCAACCACCCACACTCAACGTTTTCCTCAGTTTCCTTCGATAGACCACGATAACACACCAATGACCTGTGGTTTGTTTGTTTGTTTGTTTGTTTGTTTGTTTGTTTGTTTGTTTGTTTGTTTGTTTGAGTAAAGAGAAGAACATCAACACAACAAAGGTCATTCAGTGCAGGGAAACGGTAGATCCGACAGACAAAAAAAACCAGAGAGGAAGAAAAGAAGTAGAGCCTACCAGAGTCCCCCTCCCCCCCCCCCCCCCCAAACCCCCCGCCCCAAACCCCAAACCCCCAACCCCCCCTCACCTGTTGATGAGCGAGAAGACGGAAACAGCCAGGTAAACGAACGGGTAAAACCTCAACGGCTTAATGTCCTCCTTCATCAGTTGCTGTGAACATTTTTTTAAAAATAAAGTGAATTTTTTTTAGTAAGAGTTTTACGGCACTTGCAACACAATAAGGTCATATAAGTGCCGAAGATTAGAGGTGTTAAAAGAGAGTAACATGCACAAAAAAAGAAGGAGTAGAGATAAGGACGATAGATGTTTGATCGAAAAGAAGGAGCAAACAACATCAGAGCACCCGCCAACCACCCACTGAAAGCAAAGTTTATGGAAAGATAAGAAAAAAGTAGAACATTTCACCACACTGCCTCACACATGTAGAAGAATCACGCTTTGCCAAATCACTACCATAGAATTACACAGTTTTATCAGCTCAGAACCTAGTTCTGACAAAATCGATGTAAAATATTTTGAGTTTCACAACATGTCAAGCTTTTTCGAATGCAAATCTTTGAAAATCTTGATCATGACTCCAAATAATCTGACAATTTTGATAGAGCAGACAGAACATTTGGTTTCTGACCTCCAGGTCTTAGGAACTCAAAACTTTCCAAAACGTCAGATAGAACTTTATGATTGGTCGCTTTTAAGCACAAGGAGCTATCCCGAAAAATGCTGTTTTGAGAAAATCAAAGGTAAAGTTTTTGCCCCTTGTCCAGTTTCTTTAAAAGACAAGGAGAGTTTTCTCTATAACCAAACAAATATACACACCAATGAAACCAAACTTCTCCTATAGGTAGGGCAATGCCCACTTTTGGTGTAGGTCAAGATTTCTGGAAACCCCCGAAATGTCCTCTTGTCCTTAAAAGCGACCAATTCTGAGGTGGCGATATATATGTAAAAGACTGGCACTATGCCATCGTTAAAGGACTTACGTGTTGACGGTGAGTGTTGGGGTCGTAAGTACCCTCCCAGGTCGAGGCCTGAGGGAAAAGAAAAACTTTGGACATTAGTCACCGATGAATTAAGCGCACAGAGGATTGCATAAGTGGATATGCCCTATATAAATGCAATCCATTATTATTATTATAAATTATTATTTTTATTATTATTATTAATGGTAAACGTTTTGAGTCCACACTGACTCATACTACATTATTGAGGAGTCTGGCTGTGCCCACCCCATCTGTCAAGGCCAACCCCAGCCTGAATGAGTAGACAGATGGAAATAGCCACTACAGTAATTCCCCACATGAGAAACAAACTCTTGTCTTCTGCAAGCAACAGAGGAGAAGCTAACCATTCCACCATGAATGCAATGTGAATGGACTTAAAACATAATAACAATTTAAAACTGAAAAGTTTCAAAAACATTTTCTGACACAACACTTGCTCACCTTCCCTGTAAATAACACTGATGTATATTCCCTGTAAATAACACTGATGTATATTCCCTGTAAATAAAACTGATGTATATTCCCTGTAAATAACACTGATGTATATTCCCTGATGTATATTCCCTGTAAATAACACTGATGTATATTCCCTGTAAATAACACTGATGTATATTCCCTGTAAATAACACTGATTGTATATTCCCTGTAAATAAAACTGATGTATATTCCCTGTAAATAACACTGATTGTATATTCCCTGTAAATAAAACTGATGTATATTCCCTGTAAATAACACTGATGTATATTCCCTGATGTATATTCCCTGTAAATAACACTGATTGTATATTCCCTGTAAATAAAACTGATGTATATTCCCTGTAAATAACACTGATGTATATTCCCTGTAAATAACACTGATGTATATTCCCTGTAAATAACACTGATGTATATTCCCTGATGTATATTCCCTGTAAATAACACTGATGTATAAATATCTCCTTTTTATTCTATTTTTTCTCTGATGGAAACAAATTAAAGCAATACATTTCATTAAATGAATGAACAAAGATAATACAAAAAGAAGCAGACCCGCAAAAAAAAGAAGTGGAACAAACCATTGCCACCCTCCAATGGCACACTTTAAAAAAAATCTCTTTGGTGCACACATACTAAGTACTACTAATATACACAATGACTTAACATTCACTCATTTTTCAAATAAAAACCTTGCACAAGTGAACATTGTTGAACCTTTACCTTTCGCAGGAGAGTGAAGATGATGAATCCGTAGACGGCAATCAGGATAATGATGAAGGTAAATAGAGGCCCATACCATCTGTGTTGAGAATGAACGTCAAATGAATTGAATAACAAACATTATCAATGAAAAATGCATAAATCCAGGGGAAAAAAAAGACATACAGAGAGACAATAAAACTGAGACATAGAGAGCAAGAGTGAGAAAAAAGGAGGTAGAGGAAGAGAGACAGAGAAAGGATTTTTACCTGGAAAGTATTCTGATCAATCAATCAACAAGCAGTACTCAAAATTTTGTTGAAAAAAAGTTACCAAAGACAAGAAAGTAGAATCTTATGTTTTTGTTTCAGTAGAGGTTTTACAGCGCTCGCAACTGCATAAGGTCATATGAGCGCCAGAAGATTAGAGGTGTTACAAAAGAGTAACAAACATAAAAAAGAAGGAGGGGAGATAAGGACGATAGGTGTTTCATAGGAAAAAGGAAGCAAACCACACCAGAGCACCCGCCAACCCCCCACAAAAATTTTGTCGAAAAAAGTTACCAAAGACAAGAAAGTAGAATCTTAACCAAACAACCCCTAAGCTATTCTAGAGGAACAACAGAACTTTACTCACATGCCAATTCTCCACTTCGTGTCTTCAACAATCCAGCTGAAAAAACAAATGCCACAAAATATTCACCCTTTAATTCTCAGAATAAGGTGTGCCAGCTCAACTTGCACATGGCATAGCTTGGTTCTTTACAATCATGAGACGGAGTTCCGCAGAGGGCCGGCTGACCAACAACACACAAAAGAGGGGATATTTTGAGCGGGGTATACAAAAAAGTTGGGTTCAGTATATTGGAAGGTTCACAAGAAAGAACGAAACAATTTTGGAAGACGCGATTTTTAAAAAACAAACCCTTACCCTAATACTAAACCCTAACCCTAACCCTTGTAGAGTTTGCTCAGTGGACCTTGTCACTGTAAGTGCCGGCCCTCAGCGGAACTCTTCCCCAATCCTGACAAAAGCTCCTAACCACCCCCCCCCCAGGCAACAGATTCTGTCTGAGATTAAACTGCATGCTTATTGCATGGATTTTTCCTTCCTATTGAGTCTGGTGTTTGTTTTATGTCAAGTCGGTTCATAATGGGCAAAAATAGTCACAATTGTTTATCTGAGTAAGGAAGCATATCCAAAAACAAAGGTCATTTAGTTCAGGAATTAAAGCATTAAAGACAGGCATTTTAAAAAATGAGGGAAAGAATAGACAGAGGGCCTACCCTTGGCACTCTGCACGTCACCCACGAGAATAATCAGTAGCAGATTAGCAAATTTGTCATCTGTGTAAGAAAAACATTCACTCACATACAAACACACAAACACATGTATACACACACACATACACATGCATGTACACACACACACGAACACACACACACATGTATACACACGCAAGTAATACACACAAAAACACAAATAAAACATTGTCACCCATGCACAACTAAAACATGCACAAGCACAAGTCAAACATGCATACGCATAAATAAAACATTCACACACACAACACGTACAATTTTCCCACACGTAAGATCCATTAGGACACACTCACCACCAGGACCAATGCATAAATAAAACATTCACACACACAACACGTACAATTTTCCCACACACAACACGTAAAATTTTCCCACACACAAGATCCATTAGGATATACTCACACACACACAACACGTAAAACTTTCCCACACGTAAGATCCATTAGGATATACTCACACACACAACACGTACAATTTTCCCACACGTAAGATCCATTAGGACAAACTCACCACCAGGACCCAGAAGGACCGTAGACGTTGTCGATAAACGGGAGAAGGGAAACCACCAGAGGAACTGCAGCACATATGACAACATACACCCTGCACAGACAAATCAATACATTTACATTTGAATTTTTCAAAGAATTGTAATTGTAAATACGTTTTGCTCACCATTCGACGTGATCGAGATCATGTCGGCAAAGAACAGCTTTGACCCTGCCTGTCTGAACCAACCTGCACTGAGAGGGATAAAAGATCCGAGCAAACACAACAAGATATTAAATCTGAAAAAATACTTCCCGCCTATGAATTGAACTCATGTTATCTGTGTGCAATTTTTAAAAAAGTAGCCACCAGTTCTGCATTGTTCGTTTGTTTTAGTAGAGGTTTTACAACGCTCGCAACTGCATAAGGTCATATGAGCGCCAGAAGATTAGAGGAGTTACAAGAGAGTAACAAACATAAAAAAGAAGCAGGGGAGATAAGGACGATAGATTTTTTATAGGAAAGAAGAAGCAAACCACACCAGAGCACTCGCCAACCACCCACCTGCATTGTCCATTCTGAAAACAAAAACATACTCATAAATAAACATCAGTGACAATTATTTATACGTCCATCATTTGCTTCTAGCCATAAAACTCGTTTTTTTAAACCTCTACCACCACACACAAAAATTCAAATTAGGCTGAAGGGAATGGTTTTTTTAAAAAAACTCCTGCTGAAAAAACACACACTGCTCAAAGGAAAGGTGACAGCTCTCTACCTTACCTACTAGACTAATCCCACACTGACATTACATGTGTTGTTGCATAAATAAATATGCTATAATTGGGCTAAAGGGAGCGTTAAAAAAAGAGCAAGTGAACCACCCATGAGAAGATACTTACCACTCAAACTTGGCAGTTGTGGTCAGACGTACGACGTTCATGAACAGATTGAACGTGATGCACCCCACCAGTAACATCACCTGCCAGTCTGAAGGAACAAAACACATCCATCTCTTCAGCAGAATACAAAATCTACACGATTTAAATCATTTAGGAGACAACTTGCCTCAATTCTGCCTGTCAGTACCAACCTGGGCTAAGAAGGATATACAAAATCCTAGCACACTGGAGGAGATATTTGATCAAATAAAATGTTTAAATCCTATATCAGAAATCGAACTGATGTCTTCCATGTGTGACGGCGAAGCACCTAGCCACTACACCACAGACAACTGATTGGAAATTAAGCTCCATGCAGTCTCCAGCATAAAATGGCAAAGAACCTAGCTCTAACATCACAGTCACAGGCTTAAAACCTCTAGATAGCAAAGCACACAACGAAGTGGTTAGAGAAATTGAAAAAGGAAAACTTTTATTTTTCTTCTTTTTTTAAAAAAGTCAAAGCAATGATACAGTTGCCATCATTCTGCGCAAAGAAATAACAAAACAGATGGAAGACAGAAACAACATGGAACAAGCAGAAGACATCAGTTCGATTCTGTTACGGGGAGTCTATTTGTATCCCAGTGCATCAGAATCAGGCATCCATCAAAACAACTAAATTAATCAAACCTACATTTTTCCACCCAAATTTATCAAATTTAAAAATTTGGGCTTCATACTTTTTATATCAATTTAAAAACACATGTCTCAGTGCTTTTTAGTGAAAAGAGAGGATGATATACCAAAATTTTTAATTTGCAGTTCCCAAGAACACTTAAGCTGTGAAAATCTTCAAATTTTGTCAGCTATTCTCTCCTCTCACCAATTTTATCTTTGACACCAGGCAACGCCTCCCTCCTTCAATTGAAAAGTTAATATCTCCACTTTTATTCAAGATTGATGGATATTTTTTCCCCAAAAGCAAGGCAAATAAACTGCCTCTAAGATGATTATCATTACTTTATTAATCTAAGAACTGACAAGCGCCTGATTACACTGTGCCGTGACACATTTTATCCAGTAACTCAATCTGCCACCTGAGACGCCATTAATTTCCTTCTCATCCCCAGAAAAATGCTAACAGCATCTATCATAAATACCGGGTCAGTACATTGCCAGGTACTAGATTTCAAAACTGCAAACTATTTCCAGAACACAAAAGGGAAATTACTACAATAATTGTTCCCACTGTTATGAGTTTTGTCAGATTAACAAGCCAGATGTTATCCAACTGCCTCTGCTATTTTGGTATAGGAAAATTGATGAGGGCAAAGTATGTTTAAATCTATGAGGCTGAAAGAGTTAAGTCAACTGACTGTTCCATACGTGTGGCTGTGTCATCCTAGTGGGTACAAGTCCTGTAGGCCTTCAGGATCAGGCTCAAAGGATGTCGAATTGTCTAAATGTGCTAGACGTAAAAGGGAACATTTGACTTCGCTAAGAAAAGATAAAGGCAATGTGCAACAAAAGACTAAGAAGTATTTTCTAATTCAATGGTCAGATTTAAAGAAAAGTAAAAAATGAAAGAAAAAAGTCTTACGGAAATATGTTATGTACCATCCTTGAAAATCACAAAATGGTCCATCATCAATTCTTGAGCCCTGTTTTAAAAGAAAAAAGTATAATAAAACATTAAGCACATTCTCCTCCTGTCATTAATTCTGTCTATATTAGATCAAAGTCAGTGTATTAACAGAGCTGTGTATTAACATAGCTGTGTATTAACATAGCAGTGTATTAACATAGCAGTGTATTAACATAGCAGTGTATTAACATAGCAGTGTATTAACATAGCAGTGTGGGACTGTCATTAATAAAAACAATTATGAAGAGAAAAATACAGGTCCCAAGACACTTGCATCTATACAAAGACCTTTAATTTTAATGTCTTGTTCTTGCTGAAAAAAACAAAGAAAGCAGAAGACCAAGTAGCATTCCTCACTCAATGACAAGTTCCCATAGATCTTAGCTCATAGTGTCAGCACGGTTAGCAGATCGCACTACATGAAAATGTCTGTGTCTTGCGCATGCCAGTCTGAAGTAACTGTGAGTTTGAGTTGAAGTGGAGAGAGGCACAATGCCGGAATTGGTGTAATCTAGTGCATGTAAAAAAAATGGAAGTAGTAAAAATTCTTTGGTTACAGCACGTTTTCCACAATACATTTAACATCTTAAAGCAGAAAACAAAAGAATTCCCCCTCCCCTCCCTGGGAACTGGAAAAAAGACCCAAAAATTTAATTTGAATATTTGAGATAATGGATTCTGTCACAAAGCCCTTCCTATTGGAAGTAGAAACTTACCATAAGAAACCCAATGCTGTGCAGCAAAGATGAGATGCTGAGATACAACGTGAGGCGCTGTGGGGAAAAAAGAAAAACACCAAAGTGTTTCTAGATCCTTCTCATAATAATATAGTAACACAAAATCATATCAGAGTCTTCATTGTACCAACGTCGGAAGTGTTATGGATCGTCACTTCGTCATTGCACGCAGAAGACAAACGTTTGATCCCAGCGGTGAGAGGTTTGTTTATCAAGTGTCTACATCGTCTGCTTGAACATTGTGTTCTTCTCAGGCAGGCTCTGAGCAGCTCACCTCTAAATGTGAGGCATTGTGGTGAAATTAGGTGCGTCAAAATAATGAAATTCGAGAAATCAGCATTTTTCGGACATTTTGGAATTTTTTTTCGAACTTTTGTTTTGTGGCTCAACACCTTGTACGTCCATTCAAAAACGTTCTAATGTGGGGATTTTATGGAAAAAGGGTTGATTAAAGGTACAGCAAATGTAAATTTGCAGTTTCCAAGGACTCTTAAGCTACAGAAGTCCCCAAATTTTGGCCACCATTTTCACCTTAATTTTACCCCTGAAACCAGGCGACCCCACCTTCTTCAATCACAAATATCTCAACTTCTATTCAAGATAGATGGAAGATGTTTTCACCGACAGCAAGGCAAATGAACAAACATTAAGATGATACAAATAACTTCATATGACGGGAAATGACGATAGTAAAGAAAAGGGAAAAAAAAGCAGCAGTTCCCTTTTGCAGTTCAGGCACAGTTGTGAGCATGACATTGATGAATCAGCCTTCTACTGTGCATAAGAACATGCTAATGTCTCCAAAATTGACGAGCGCCTGATTCCACCGTGTCATGACACAAATGACCTAAATTGTGTCGATGGGGAGCAAACAACACGTACAAATACAATATGTGAAGTGGGCTGACAAAATGAGTTACTTCTCAGATTCAAGCCTTAAGGAAATAGATACATCACGCTTATAGGTGAAGTTTTTACAATTTAGAAGTATGAAATAATAAAAAACAGGTTATAGTTAAAGAATATGGCATCAATTGAAAATCTACAAATTTGACCCAAATATTGATTTTTGGCCAATATCTCCATTTGTGGATTGCGAGAAGTTACTCATTTTGTCAGCACACCTCACATATCGATAAAGTCTTCTCACACAATTTTCATTTGTCATTACTCCATGTAAATAAAAGGACACCATGCGTTATAATTGCAGCAACAAACTTGTACCAGTCAGTTTTATAGCTGTCGTTGTTTCCCCTAATTCCAAACAAGGAAGTTTTATTTTCTACACTTTGAAAAGGCGAACCAAGAAAATCTTTATCATTTTGATTGTGCACAAGCAGGTACTTACCCGCTGAACAACAATAACACATTAGGTGTCAAATTATGAAAGCAAATGATTCCAACAGTTAAAAAACCAACTAAAACGACAAGATTTTATTTGGAAACCAGAAGAAAAGAAAGAAAACTATCCAAACTCCAAGAACGCAAGAATTACAAACACAAGAAATATTCTGTTTCAATATGTAACCTGAAAGGACTTTAATTCTCCAAAAATAAGATAGAAATCAGAAAATAAACAATTGTATAAGAACTTCAATAAATCTGTAAATCCCTCCTTTCCAACCACCACCATGCACCTCCCTTCACACACCCCCCTCCCCACACCCAAGTTAGAGCTGGATAGTGACACTGCTGTGACATTTACTACTTAAAGGCAAATTGATGAGACCAGTACATCAAAATTATGAACAAATTTCTTACCTGAGAAAAGGCAACATATCTCTTGAACAGCCAGATGACAAAGACCATGAATATTCTGTTGTAAAATAAAATATTTGCAAATATAAGAAAAGAAATTGAAAATTGTGCTTGACTGACAGAATATCAAACAGAGAAAGCATAACAATTTTATGAATTTAGCAACGACCAGAATCTGAAAGCAAGAATTCAATTCACCACCCTGCTTCAAAAGACCAAAATTGTGAGGTTTGTGGACCTTGAAAAAGAAAATAATTTTTCACATCAGTGCGATAATATACAATAATGTAGTTGGTGCTTCGGTGAAGATGAAGACAGTTTCATTCGGTCTTCAAAAACGTTAGCTTCTTTTAAAACTTTCTTTGTTCTTGTTGTTGGCTGGACACTTATGTCACAGAACACAGAATCTTATGCACTTATTTGTAGGAATGGAATATATGTGTTGTTGAGTACCCTGTTCTGTATCTCAGATTGTCCAACAATCTTAAGCAAAAATCACTGCCTGTTGGCAATATTCTGCAAAAATACAAGTTCTCTTCTATCCCTTGTGAAATTGTATAGAGAGTTCAAAATTAAAAAAAAAAAAGCTTAATAACAATCGATCCTTCAAAAGAAGAGGACCGTAACATGACCAGCACTGTGAAAAACACTATATGACGAGGGGTGTCAAAAAATAATACAAGCTGTTCGTTATTTTGCACAATTTGGCGTCAAACTTAATCAAATTCAGCTCACATGTATTTTTAACTCAAATTTTTAAAATTCAAGTTTCTTTAACTCTTTATCTCCGAGGGGGGTATACCCACTACGCCGGGGCCCTTTTCGGTACTAAATCTATAAAAATGACAAAAACATCATTAAATGGGTCAATAAATCAAAACTAGCAAACCAATTTTGATAGTCCTTCATCTAATGAATGAACTTCCAGTATAAGAGACCTATTTTTGGCAATTGCCGAAAAGTAATTTGATGTCGAAGTCGTCGTAAAGGAATGTGCCCGAGCCGCTGTCAGCGATTCACCGACACAGTGGTTCCAACTGCGAGCCGCTGGGAGCGGCTTGCCGGAGGTAAAGAGTTAATTTTGGCCCAAATGGCGTCACATCAAAATGGCTACCCTCTTGGAGGTCTGTCAAAGGTAGAGAGCCGTGATCGCATTTCTTGTTTTAGAAGGAGAATCCAGCGATAACATCCAAAAAGAGACTTCAGAATGTTTACAAGGACCAAGCTCTAGATTTTGTCACTGTATATAGATGGGTCAGATGAGTAAGCAATGAACCGGAAGAAGAGGAAGAGGTGTCCATACGCTTGTCAGACAAGCATCGTCCCGAGGAGTCAGCCGGAAAAGTCAAGGCAATTGTGTTTTGGGACGTTCATAGTGTGCTTCTCACAGATTTTTTAACCATGAGGAGCAACTGTCAATTCTGAACCCTACATTGAAACATTGAAACTACTGAAAGCAAGAATTCGACGAGTCAGACCGAATTTGAACATGGAAAGAGTGTTTTTTCCCCATGACAATGCCCGCCAGCATTCGGGTACTAGAACAAGGGAGACACTCACCCCGTTTATGTGGAATACACTGCCACACCAAACTTATTCTCCTGATTTGGCTCCTTTAGACTTCCACCTTTTCGGTCCTAGAAAAGAACCATTGAGAGGTCAACACTATGGAAACGATGGAGAAATCAAGACTGCTGTACCCCTACGACCAACCTGCTCAGTTTTACGATGCTGGCATATTTGGACTTCGTAAAAGGTGGTCAGTGGTTCTCGTATGTATCCAGAATTGTAACTTAGAATAGTGAAACAGAAAAAGGGTATCATGTTATGCAGATACTTACGCCCCAATCAGTGACAGTGATCCCGACACTTTTCGAGCCACAACAACAGCATCCTAGGACATAGATAACAGAAGAAAAAATACAAATCATGAATGCAAAATTTAAGTGCAAGAACTTCTTACTTTAAGAAGTAGTACTAAAGGGGGGG